ATAAAAATTTGATAGTGGAAGTTAAGAGCTTTTTTGTTTGAATTTGAACTTTAGTTTTCAAATATTAATTTAAAAAATGTAATGCCATACTGCTCTTCCATTAATTAGCAAATTATTCTAAAAATTTAATTATGCTGTCTCCTTTTGAATTTGTATGGTTCACCATCTTTTTGTTTAACCGCAGAGATGTCTTCCACGGGAGGGTTTGGACGAGCATTTTGTCATAAACATGGTAATTTAGAGTTAACTTTATATGTGGTGCTACATCATCCCCACCCCCTCTCCTGGGTGTGTTTGTAGGATGGGGTTTTGGGTAATTGTTCTAATTTAGTCAAACCTGTTATGAAGAAATTTGTTTTTTCAACTTCGCCGTGTAATGTAATGTGTAAATCTTTCTAACACTTGTTCGAAATGGGATTAACTCTAGTTTGATATTTATCATATTTTTAAATGAAAATCATTATTTTTCCACTTTTAAAAAGACTTTTTTTTTATTCAGTCAATGGTAATGAGTTTCCCTTTTTTGGCTGCTAACTTGCCTAACATCATAGGAAATTTTTACCGCTTTGACATGCATCTAACATTTACTTGCTCATTTCTTTTTTAGATTACCATATGGTCAGTTTTCATATAAAATTGGAAAATGTTAATTAAGGAGGTATATATGATGGTTGTCAGGATGAAACTTCTTTTTCTAGTTCTTGCTATAGTTTGCTTGATTGCCGTTGCTCCTTTTTCCCTGCTGTTGCAGGAAGGTGTAAATATCTTGGCAGTCAATTATGGGTCCCCAGGGGCATGTCCATATCCGCAGCAGTTGAAACTTGTGAGTTACAGTTTATCTCTTCCTTTTCTCTTGTTTCTCAGTTAGTTGAGCAAACTACAGAGATTATAGCCTCTTCCTCAAATTTATTGTTGTCATTGTTGCCACTTGTTCTATTCTACAATTAGTTTTAAAAAATATCTTAAAAATGTGAACTTCCCTTTGTGTTACTACAATATCCTTTTCTAAATTGAAGTTGTTATTTTAGTGTGTAATGTATAGAATCATACCTTGCCAACTCATAGATTTAATAGTAACTTTAAATTCAATGGGTTATATGGGATCTAAATTTTTTCTCCAACACTTGTCCTCGATGCTGGATCTACAAGAAATTTAGGTCACTTTGAAGTTGCAGTTTCAAATAGCATTTCTTGCATAATAGTATGGTCAACTAAGGTTCATAAGATTCAACAACTATAACCTCATCAAGTGTACTTAAGCATGTCGTGGCATTCAATATCTATTGTCTTCTAGTCTTTCAGAATATTTTATTCTTGCTGAGTAAAACAGAGGATTGATTTTGACATACTGATTTTGCAATATTAACTGAACTTTCACAAAGATTAAAGGTGATTTCTTGTAGTCTTAAAAATTTTTCTCTAGTTGTATTGTAATCTATGTTTGCTTTATCTGTACTACAGCCTTTTAAATGGGCCTTCAACTCCCACACAATTTTAAAGGACAGTGAGCAGGCACCAAGGTATACTCTTATCCATATTATTCACTTGTTTTTGGATCTAATATTATAGCTCTTGTTTTTTCTTTTTCTGATTTTTAATATCCCCAACATTATTAACTCTTTTTTTATCTTCAGTTTTATTGATTGACATCTAATTGGAAGCTATTTCATGGCTTAAAGGAGAATTTATTAATTGTAAATTGCAATCTCATCCTGTTTCTTTTATTGTTTCAAGAGCATAAGATACAGGTCTTCCTCAATGGGCAAGTTTGTTTTAGTAAATAACTTAAATGCATCCACTCCATGTCCAAGCTGATCATCATAGTATACAATTATGCATCATATTTGCAAATTCTCTATAGCAATTTTGTTTTCATTTTAAGTTTCTTTTTTCAATCTAAAAAACAAAAGGGTTGCTTTCACCATTCCCTTTTGTTTTGTAGGGCTCCAATCTTTACTGAAGAAGTTCTGGGTGATGAGAATGGGGAGAGTGAAGTTGTGCAGTCATCAGAAAAGTCTTTCTGGGCCAAATATGTAAGTCAGGAAGGAGTTGCAATTTCCTTTTATTCTGTTTAAGCCATCTTGAGTGAGACTAACTAAATCTTCTGTTTGTAGTGGATGTATTTGATCCCTCTTGGACTCATTAGTCATGAATGCCATAACCCAAGCAATGAATATGCCTGAGGAA